CTGCCTCTGAGGATCCCCAAGGCAAAAATAATTCATTGGGAAACTTCCGAATGCCCTCAGGGAAAGAATTTCAAAATACTTCCCAAGTGCTTGATATTGACTTACATAGGCAAAGTGCTATGTTATTATATAGTTAATGTCACATAACTCAACTTTGATCTCAAATCAGATCTTTTCTAAAAAAGTATTTATCTAGATTAGAGTTATCTGATAATAAAACTTGAATGTGCAAAGGTATTGTTCATCACTTTAGACCTGTTTACCTCTGCATTCCAAGTTTCCCAAGTGCCATTCTCTGTTCCTTATTCTTCCTGACATCCTCCTCTGCCCTGGTTCTGATTTCAGAGAAACCTTCCCTTGTAGGGGCAAACAGGATAGTCCTGCCCATTATTTGCATTCTCATCCTTTGCTTATATCCTAAATTTGCAACTTCTACATCATTTATCCCAAATTATTGGTGTGACTTCTCAAGGAATCGTTGAGCAGTAACTCTCTACTGATGGCTATTTTAGAGTAAATGAGTTCACAGCTCTTGACTCAAACTCTTTTTTGCCTTTTCTGCACAAAACACTGGAAGAGAATGAATCTAACTGTATCTTACTGGATTTCTACATCCAGATATTAAGTAACAGTATGACCTTAACATATACATATGAGCATCATTCACAATACTTTGTTAAAAAGTTATCATTATTTCTAGCCTCTGAGCTCCAAGGACTTGATTTCAATGGCAAGTCACCCCCGGCGCGGGTGCATGGGACGCTGGCGAAGATGAGGCCTCTGTGATGGACCGGGGAACCGTTCGGAGCCCGAGGTCTGCCAGGCAGGATGACTCATATCAGAGGTAGTCAGCACACCCATGGTTTGCTAAAAATACCTTCTTCCTTCTCCTACATAATTTGCTTACATTCCTGTGGTTTGTTCCCGATTAGCTAGCTTGAGCTTTGCATGTCATAAAACGTCCTTAAATTCTGAGGTGAATTTATGGGATCCCTTGTCGGGGAAAACTCACTGGTTAAACATATCCTGGGGGATGCTGAGAGCAAAGACTTTCAAAGCGCTTTGTGAACGCTCTATAATATTTGCTATGTGCACCACGTTGTGGTATTACATATCGTCAATGCTTCCTTAAGTTCTGGTGCCACAGAACTGAAAAATAACCTTTCATTTTATACACCAAGATCGATCCTGGACTTTGTCTACTAATATAGAGTGAGAAGCAACAGTTATTTAATGTTCATGTTCTCCTGAAAACCTCCAGGGACGGAGCTTCCCCAGCTCCTCTGGACCCTTCTTGACTGTCCTCGCAGGGAAAGTGTTTTATCTCACTCTGGAGCTCTCTTGCTTCCATTTATATCCACTGCCTCTCGTCCCCGTGCCACGCACCTCCAGAGAGCGCCCAGCTCCGTCATGTCAGGACAAGGCAGTTTAGCCTTTTGTTTTTGTCCATCAGCTCCTGACCTATAGATTTGTTTTCTCCCTGCTTTGGCAGGTCAGAACGATTATTCCAGATACCATCCCGATCAGGGACTGCCCCTTATGTTACTTCACAGCCAACACAATGCAGCCTTTATCCCGATTGTGACATTATAGGTGATAAGAAGCCAATGCACCCAGTTATAACCTAATCTGTTCTACTTCTTATCTAATAACTCTGGGAAAACAACCAGCACCTTCAGCACCCATAATTATCTTTGTATTAAAAAAAATGATAACAACTCACTTAAGGTCTGTGCACATTACACATGACAGGAGAAAAGCAGTTGGATGCATTTGTATTGCTTCCTACAGCTGTACAATGAAAGGCTGGGGTAGATGCTTGGGAAGCAGGAGGAAAAACTAAAGGGAAACTGAGGCAGGTTGTGTAATGCCTTGTGGGGCTACAAGAGGGAGCTGTGGAGGCAAAATAGGACACAGTTAACTCAGCATCTCACAAATGTATCTGCTGATGCTGGTTTCTGCATCTACACCAAAAAACCAGGATCACCACCAAAAAAAAAACCACACTTTGGTGAGGTCAAGGACAGCATACAACATAGGTACACAGAGCAGATTTTATAGTGACTAATCATTTCATTTGCTTTCCTGCTCAGGTCAATCCAGCGCTGTGTTCAGATTTGCTCACATTACACTACGGTACAAATCTGGTTGGTGCACATGTGAAGAGTTAGAGATAGTGAACAGGGTGGAGTACACAGAAAAAGGGATAACTGAGGAGACATCAGGACTTCTGCAGCACCTGACAATTCCCTGCTGTTTTGAATGGACTTTCTCTGCCTGTTACTGAACAGTAACTGAACATCTTTGTATTTTGTTCATTTTTTCCTCCTCATAAATCAGTCACTAAAGTCCCACTTCACAGTTTATCATGCAAACTAATAATCTGTTGAAGTTAGGTTGTTGCTTTTCAGTAATAAAAATCTAGTTTAGTCCCATTTAGAAAGGAATGAAAAGTGGAAGTCCTGGGTTCTCCTGCTCTATTCAGGGGCTCTCTGAGGGGGTCACTAAACCCTAGAAATGGGTTGGTGAAGACATGCAAAAGCCTGGGAAGCCCAACCCTGCACTCAAGGTGGGGACCTGACGAGCCTGGAAAGTGCCAGCTGTTGCATGCTTCATCAAACTGTCAGAGTCTGCAGGAAAATTTCTTTTTTCACCACCAAATACTGCAGCAAAGGGTCCATTTTGTTGAACTGGTAAATACACTGGGAGAAAACCACCTTCTTCCCCATAAAAAAATCTGCAGACAGGATATTTGATTTATTATGCTCCTTATGCCATAAATTAGGATTTATGAGGTGTCTGTGGAAACACCCTGAGTAATTAAATGCTATGAGAATGCTCCAAGGATTGAAAATGTTTCACAAACACTTATTAATATGTTGCCTATGCAAATAGTTGGATTATGATAATAAGCAGTGTGTAACACCTAGTGTTGGGTAATAGTATCACTTTAAGAGAGATGCATCAAGGTCATTCCTGGCATTGTCCTAATTATACCATGATTCACTGCCTCAACTTTCCCCTTGTATTTCTTATAAAAATCAGTAAGCAGCAGAGTTTTTGCTGGTGTGAAATATGGTGGCTCCATACACTATATTACATAATTAACCCTTGCTAAAAATCTGGACATATATTTCAGTTCTTGCTTGCCTAATGGGCAGAATTTTTGCTGATATAACATACCTTCCAATGATGTAAGCAAGTTTAGCTTCTTTGAAGTCAAGGAAATGAATGATGCAGATCTACATCAGCAGAGAAGCCATCCCTAAGCATTTTATTTTGATTATGTCTTCATTAGCAAGCACTCCTGACTCAGCTTTAAAAACAAAGGATTTGTGCTCTGAAGTTGAACACAACCGGTTTGACCATATAGATCATATCTTAGCAAGGAAAGGATTAACATTAATGCTGTCCCTGCCTTACACAAGGATATAGTTTTCTAAAATGTTTTCAAATTAATAGTGCTCATGATATTAATATTCCATCTTGTGGTACATACCACCCACATCACTCTCTACCCTTCGTCGTCTTTATCGTCATTGCTATTCACTCTAGAGCAAAGAAAGATTGGGGGGAGAAAAGAGCAGCTCTGTATAGTATGCTGAATTTTGAAAAGAGTAAAATCTCTTGCAGTTAAGGGACTGCATTTTAATACAACAGCTAGGATTCAATTCCTATTCTGTTAGGGATCTCCCAAATGACAGATCAATTGAAGCAGAAATCCAGCGTGCTTATCTGGGATCTTTTTGTAAGGATGAATTGCATGCCCATGTTTTGCAAAAGCAATTCTGGGGGGCAGGGTTGGAGGGGAGAGGTCTTCCAGGTAGAAGCTATCTGAAAGTCAGCAAGAAAAGACACTGAAAAAGTAAAAATACATATTTTCTGCTGAATGGTGAGTTCCTTTGAGGGATATGATGTTCATACTATCTGGTTACTAGCAAAAAAAACAGGTGCCCAGGAGGACCCTGCTGCACGTGTTGGACTCATCTCACCAGAAATCAGCACGCTGTACGCACCCATCACCAAGCCTTACACAACCCAGGGAAGGCAGCTTGGGGGTGCTGAGGGGCTCAAAATACTCCTTTCCTTCCCTTCCCCAAGTTTGGCCTCTCTGTGGAGTGAGGTTTCATGCATAAAAATGCCAAGCACATTTAAATGAACTAAAAAAACACAATTTGAAAGATGCACTTATGAGGTTAAACATTCTTACTTTATGAGGCACCCCTGAAGCTGGGAGTTTATCAGAAATATGCTGGAGACATTGAGAAGGAAGATTTCAAAGAACTTCAAACACCTGTTCATATGTTATATAGGGAGATTATTCTATGTTAATACTAATAATATCCTATCGGATTTAGACTGCTCTGACCTCAGACAGAGTAAAATATGCAAGACATTTATTGAACCAACTCCTAATTTTAAGCTTCGTAATTTGAGACAGCTTGATTTGAGTTTAAGAGAGTTCTGTGTTAGTTTTGCTGTTGGAAGTTTTTGCACCTGATACTTCATCTGGCCTAGGTCAGAACAGATCCAAATTTTGTTAACGTTATATCAGATGAGAAACAAGCCCTGTGTTTCTAAACATTTATCAAGCCATTGGGAGGAAAAGTAGGTGTTAGCCTGTGTTTCCAGTAAGGAAACCAAGTCTTGGGTGTGCTGACGTCCTCTGACAGACGTCTCCGAGACTCCCTGCACAATCATGTTATTCGCAAAGATAAGTCACTGGAAGTACGTTAAAAACACACCAAGAATTAATGAAATCAGTGGAGCAAAACCAGAAAATTTGAAGATGAAAGCAACCTGCAGGTTACAATCTGCATTTTGTATTATGACCTAACTCAGCCTTAGATAATCATAAGCAGCAAGCAAAACAATTACAGCAACTGGAGGAGTAAAACATGCAAAGTTTGCTTCATAAGTAATTAAAGCCTTTTACGCAAAGGGTGTCTCAGATCCTCCAGGCAATCTAAGAAAGGGTATAAAAACCTCTTTCAGTGCAAGGCTTTTTTTAAACTACTTCACTTGACTTGTTCTCTCCGGTACACTGAGTAAGTCTGCTCTGACAACTAAAAAGTTTGACTTTAATTTTGTTTTAGAGAGAATTTTGTTAAAACTGGGACTAAATCCTGCATGAATATTTTGACTCAGAAAGCATCTTTCTACAGATATTTTTCTAGAGATGTATTTTAACAGATGCTGCTGGATAAAGGCTATAAAAATAAAATCAAGGGTTTTTCAAGATTCCTTGGGGCTGTTAATTTTATGTGAGAATTAGGAATATCAACCTCTTAGTTCTCAGAAGGGCTCTAATAGATACTAGCATTGTTTTTGCATATATAGCTTGAACAGGGGATTCAGCTGCTGTTAAGTGATGGTGGGGTTTTCACTGATAACTATAGAAGTAAAATCTCGTCATTGTTTCAAGTTAGTTCTGTGCAGCTATAGAGATGCAGCATTGCTTTTGTTTGTAACATGTCCATCCATAGCTAAATTAAAGTCACAACAAGCAAGTGAGGATCAGATACTATTATGTTAATGTAACGGAGGAAGCAAGTTTTCATTTCTAACTACTAACATGTGACTTTGCTACTGCTTTAATGTGTTTTTGCAGAAGTGAAATTAAGGGGGTTTTTTTCTGTCAAAACTAAGTTCTAACCTAAAGGTATCTGGGGAAAAAAAAAAATCTAGGTATGCTTTTTTCCAGAATGATACATTTGAGGATATTTTTACTTTCCTCTGAATGTATTTGAGGCAGGTAAACAGGTCAAATGGCTCTGTGCCCTGCTCATTCCCCTGTGCTGCTGGCACCAGGCACAAGGCAGCACAGAACTCCTGAAGACAGGAAAAGTAGCTTTTAGAAGATTTGTACTCCATGCTCAGAAATAGAATAGTTCCTTCATTAGCAAGTGTTGCTGGCTACACATTGTAGGAGCCTGTGCACCAGTTCTCCATAGATGAGATCTACTGAGCTCACAACTATGCCGGGAACTAACAAATAACATGAGTGGACAGCTCTGCAGTCTGATTTTACAGATGAGCTCCAAGTTACCCTCCATCTGCCTTAGAAACATTTCCTGTCTTTTCTGCTTACTTTTTTTAAAGAGTGCTTTAAAGCCTAGACCCCCTAGTCCTCCTTCTCCCAAGCATTTAAGGACAAGAATTCTAGTTTACCTCAGCCCACAGGCCTTAACTGGGAATGAATAAGCAAAAAGCCTTATTTATCACTATAAAGCAGTGTTGATTTAGAACTTTAAAAGTTAGTGTAACACTGTACTATGAAGATGTTAAGATATAATCTGAAAAAAGAAATAAACATTATTAAATTTCTGTGTACCCTAACTGCAGCTACAATTTTCTCATCTGGTTTGACATCACTCATTCACAATATAAAAGAAAAGGAAAATAATAGAAGGAATTAATCTGGATGCTAAATTGATCAAGTGACAGAGAACTTGAATATAATGCAAAAAATGCACTAGTTAGGGACTCAAGCAAATCTGTATTCGGTTATTCTGACACCAGGTTCCCGCACAGTCACAAAGAACCGGGCCAGATTTTCAAAAAGCTCAGGGTACTTTAAATCTATTGAAAACCCTGGATTTTCCTCTCTCTCCCTTGCACCCTGCCTCTAAGATGCAGATCACAGGCACTGCCTTGAGAAGCTGCACGTGGAAGGAGAAGAGACGCTGCCAGAACAAGCTCAAGCTTGTCTTTGTCCCTGGGAGACATTACGGAGGGCTCAGAGGTTTCAGAGCAGATGTCTATTTTGAAGGGAACCCACAAGAAAGAGGGAGGCTCTCTGCTCCCAGAGGAACAGAAGTAAAGTGAGCAAGAAAGGCTTAAAGCAGCTGATTAGAAAAGGAAAATAGATATAAACCAAACAAAAGGGAGAGGTGTAGGGCTGCTGTCTTTATCCAAGTTCCTACCCTGTTTAAAGATCAGCTGGAGCTGAGCTTAAAAATTCTCATACCTGGCTCACTGCCTTTTGCTTATTCTGCAAATAAATTCCAGGCATTCCCTCCCAGGCAGGCAATGGCTTCAGAGCAGCTGGCATGCACCAACCCCTGCGAGGCAAAGTGTCCCCAGCCCCTGGCCACCAGCAGCAACGAGCCCTGCGTGGTGGCCTGCGGTGACTCCCGGGTGATCATCTTCCCACCACCTGTCGTGGTCACCTTCCCAGGGCCCATCCTCACCACCTACCCGCAGCAGACCGTGGTGGGAGCCTCGGAGCCACCCAAGGCAGCGCTGGCAGAGCCCCCTGCTGCAGCACCACTGGCCACTGAAGTCACCGGGCAGCTGGAGGCGGCTGTGGAGAAACTTGCCCCCCAAGTCATTTCACGACCCGAGCCTCAGTACACCCCAAAATACTCCTACACCTATTCTTCCCAATGGACACATCCATGCAACTCATACCGCTCTGGGAAGCAGTGGACATACTAAGCTCAGGCTCTGTATGCACGGAGTCAATTTAAAAGTACTCAAGGAAGCTCAAGTTGCAAATTGAGGGTGGAGCTGAGAGGCCAGAGCCTGAGAGCCTGAGCACTGGGTGTTGCCCGGCTCCAGCTGAAGAGAATAAGAACTGCAAACACCCAGCACCTTTCACAGGCAGACTCATGTGTGCGTTTTCTCATTTTGCCTTTAACTTAGATTAATTATCTACCAGCTTTCCAGTTTAGCCATCTGCTTGCACTGTGCTTTGTCCTGTTCCAGTTATATTATTGACTTTGACACTGATTTAGAGAGGTGACTTACAGTGCTAGAAATTGCACACAACTGCACTGAAGAAGAGTGACGTTTCTTATAAACTGCACCACTTTGACCCTGGTGGTTAGCCAGTGCCCTGTTGAACCCCCGGAAAGATAGTCTTTATACTCTGTACAAAGTTTGTTCCAGAACTGTAGAAAAGCTGTCTCATTCCAAATAAATTTTCTGTTCCATAGAGCATCTTTTGGTTTTCTTTACCACATAATCATTTCTTTCTTCTTTCACTTTTCAGCTAGATTTAAAGCATATTTACCCACAGTCATAGTTGTCCAATGCTTCTTTGCGCACAGATGTCACAAAGTCCCAGGAATACAGTTCTACACAATCATTATGAACTCACTTGTTTTCAAAGTCCCATTAGACGTGTGCTGAACAGTTGACACCACCCAGGAGCAACCTAAGTCCCAGGCAGTAATTGCTGTAACTGTGCTGCCCACAACAGCTTGTGAAGGGCTCCAGCCCAAATTTGTCATATCCATCTCAGGACAGAGTGTCCTCCCAGTGCTTTATCCCAAAGCAAGACACAAGCAGCTGCTGGGGCAGCAGCGAGCAGAGGATCTGGAGGAGACATTGCTTGGTCCCTTGCGCAGATGAGCAGGGAAAGGGCTGAACCAGGCTCCTTCAGCCATTAGTAGGGCATAAAAGAAACATCACATTGGGTCCTGCTGTAGGTTTTCCTTCATCCTTTCCTTCTTGGGCATAGGATGACCAAATTTATTTCCTCGATATACTTTTCCTTTAAATGTAAAAACTCTCTATTCTTTTTCCAAAGCATAAATGGGGAAGGCATCCTTTCAGGAAATAATCCTCTTGCTTCATTTTAATTCCGATTTGGAGTAACACAAAAAACACTGATGTCCTTTGAAAGCTGTCTCTTGTAATGAAGGTAATAGTTTGGTAGCAACTTTCCTATACTAAATCTCAGAAGTACTTTTTATGAGACATTCAAAACTTCCAGAAACCTTTTTAGACACCTCACTTGCAATAAGGCATTTAACATCACTGCTTAGTCATAGATATTTGTGTCACCATAGTGAACAATAAGAAGAGCAAACTCAGAAAAAAAAAGTTGTTCCTGCAATGAGGATTCTTTAATGTGGATGGAAAATAGAACAGACATTGACAGAAGGAAACAAAACAATGCAGAAACAATGAACTGAAAGTGTGAAAATTACAAGGCTTGAGACAAATCACAATGCAGTGTTTCACCCCAAAGATTTCCCTTTTGTTAGTGCAGGAGCATTAGAGCAGCACAGAGCAGAGGAAACTAATCCAAGCATGAGCAAGGCTTTGCTATATCAAAAAGAGGAGCTGCTTCCACGGCTAAATGCAAATGATAAGCATTCCAAGAAAGCCCAGAATCACAGGAGCTTCCCATATATATTACTCCTGAGACAGCTACAGCCCACAGCTGCAGATCTGCAGACTTATTCTGTGCCAAGAAGCAAATACCAGTGCTTTACAGTAGACGCTTTGGCATAGCATAAACAAGGGATGGGAGCTTTTTCCTGCACCTGGCACCAGAAGAAAATAGCAGGTGTTTGTAAAGACCTGAGGCAGATTCCGCATTCCTTGGATATTTGCAGCTTAGCAGGGCCCACAGTTGCCGTTG